GAACACCATTGGATCTTTGAAAAATGCTTAAGGTACACAAAAATGTGTACACATTTTGTGTGCACATGTATGTACTTCACAGACAACTTATTATAAATTGTCTGTGACAGACATGTGTACACAAAATGTGTACACATTTTGTGTACCTCTAGCAAAACTCTTGGATCTTGACTACTCAAATTCGATTATGTGAATATATTTATCTTCCAAGTATACCACAGTACAAACTGTCGTATTGCCAGGTACTGAGATTGTAAATTAGTGTAATTCGTGTTTAGTTTGCATCATTAAAATGATGAATTGCAAGAGTAATACGCCTTTCTAATAGCTTATTAGTAGTACTATTGTTAATGTTATTGAAATTTAATGTTTTTTAAAGGAATATTTGATGTTACTATTTTGAATATCGGTGTTATCATTGTTATTGTGGTTGTTATTACTATTATTACAACAATGTTCATTCTTGCTGATATATTGCATGCCTTCAAAGAGTTAGTTCCACATAAACCATATCAGAAAAAAAAAATGGATCTTAAGTTAATATACGATAGCATTATCTTTCTTTATTGGGAAAACTGTCAAATAGGTCATCGAACTTTCAAAAAAAGATCAAACAAGTTTTTATATTGGATGCTCTGTCCGGCCGTCGCGATTTGGGGCGGTTCCCGGTGTCAAATAGGTCCTCGAACTTAAAAAAAAGAATGAAGGAAGTACATTGTTTAAATTAAATATAAAAAAAATAAATAATATAGGTATTTTTTGGCTGCATGTGGGTCCCAAGACCCCGTGGGACCCTTAGTAGGCCCGCCACTGCACATATATACGGAGTATTACATAGTACTCCTTCCGTCCCAAATTGATTGCAAATTTGACTTTCTTGAATGAAACAGTTTCATTTTAATGACTTAATTGAAATATGAATTCTTAATTAAATTGGAATTTGGATTTTGCAACTTTATGGAGATTTAAATTTAGTTCTAAATTACTAAAATTAATTTATTTATCAATAGGGAAAATTTAACTTTAACATTGGTTGACAAAAAATGTTGACTTTGCAAAACAAATTGGGACGAATGTAGTATATATTTTATATATTGGGAAAAGGAGCAAATAAGCCCTCGCACTAACAAAAAAAGTGCAAATCACCCCTTACATAGGAGATTCTGTCCGGCCGTCGCCATTTCGGGATGTTCTCGGTGGAATGTATTGATGAAATGTTTTGAACATCTTCTTCAATAAGTCTAGTTTATCCATACCAAATTTCAGCTAAAAATATAACCGGGAAGGTAGTCAAATGATTTTCTTAAATATACTGCGTTGTTTAACTGCGCAGTTATATTCAAAAATTCATTTGATAAGAGGAGTAGTTCACATCTTAATATATCTTCAAAATTATGATGAACTCTTCATACAATGTACACAATGTATTTACGCCGAATTATTTCGCTGATTAATAGGATCTGCAAACCATCTCCGAACAATAGGTTTAAGGTTCATTCAAATCGTAAATATTTCTATGAAATTATGTTTCAATGATATTGAATTCATTTTTTTCAAGTATGGGCTTATACCTATTCTTAAACCTCGCTGTTCATTTTCTCAAATCTGAGTATTGTTTCAATCCAATATAAATTGTAAACGGCTGTTATTTCGTATGATTTTCTATTTACAATGAATTTATGTGTCATTATCATTTTACATGTTATGGGCCTTCATAAAAAAACACACTAACACAATCCCTGGGAAATTAGAGCGATGTTATCTGATTTGAAGGTAGGTTTATAAAATTTACCTGAAATAAAGTTTGATAAAGACCCTCTCCTTGGCTTGACTATTCATAAAATTAATAATGATAAAACTAATGGTGTACATCTAAAGGGAGAAATACGCCCATTTTTAAAAACTAATAATTTTGAAATTGTCTTTTGAATCAATATTTTATAACAAAAGATACAACTTCAGTAATTAACATTGCATAATTTTTAAAACATTTTACAAGAATTTGGTTTAGTGAACGTTAATATCAAGAAGTGAAAGTTTGCATCTTAACCCTAGATTGTCCAAGAGATTAGACAAAAAACAGATTATGTTTCTTGATTAGTCATTTCCCCAATAACTTGTTTTTGTTTTTGGAAAATCCCCAATAACTACTTAACTCTGTTTTTAACTCTGATCCAGAGTTTTTTAATGGCGTGATATTTGACATTTCATCAATTTTAGTATTAATTACCTCAGTTCTTAATGTTGGATATCAGTCATTTTAACATTTTTTTGAAAATATGATAGAATAAAGAAAATGGCTCACCAAACTGTCTGCACTTCTTTGTTATGAAGCAGCAGTCAGTCCATGCATCTCTATACTTTAGTACAGGGATAAGATTGCGTACATCCGACCCCCCCTTACCCCATCGTAGGTGGGGAAGCCTGTGCGGCACTGGGTAAATGAAAATGAAGATGAAATGATCGGAAAAGATTGGAGGGATGTTATTGAGTAGTCATAATTTTCCATTAAATAAAAAATGATACCCCGTTATCTTAGTACTATGTAATAATTAAGTTATACTTCGTACATAGTAACTTAAAACTACTTTAAGAAACTTAAATAATTTAATTTTCCATTTTGGAAGAGAAAATATAATTTTTAAGAACTGAGGTAATTATCCATTTACCTGAAATAAATTAACATTTTTTATGACTACTCAATAACATCCCTCCAATCTTTTCCGATCATTTCATCTTCATTTTCATTTACCCAGTGCCGCAAAGGCTTCCCCACCTACGATGGGGTAAGGGGGGGGTCGGATGTACGCAAACCCTAAACCCTAAACCCTAAACCCTAAACCCTAAACCCTAAACCCTAAACCCTAACCCCTAACCCTAAACCCTAAACCCTAAACCCTAAACCCTAAACCCTAAACCCTAAACCCTAAACCCTAAACCCTAAACCCTAAACCCTAAACCCTAAACCCTAAACCCTAAACCCTAAACCCTAACCCTAAACCCTAAACCCTAAACCCTAAACCCTAAACCCTAAACCCTAAACCCTAAACAAGAGTTTATGAACTGTTGAAAAACATTATTGTTTGGAAAAGTTCCATTATTTTTAAATGCACTAACGAACAGAATATTTTCTTAGTAAGGTATACCTATTAGGTGTTGACTCAATTTTTCGAAGTATTGAATAAACTATTAATGGTTGCTTTTACTCAAAGATCAAAGATCCAATGAGCATGTCGCGGTTTCGAAATCTCAACTCTTAACATAACATGCATTTCTATCGCCATTCATTGTTATACGTACGTAGTACCGAGTATAAGTTAGTATATTGAGAATGTTAAACAATAATGGCGCAATTGCTAGAATAACGTACTTCTAGCAACATTTTATAATGGATTAACACCAAACCTTTGAAAATCTGGACGGATCAATACTCCATCCACAGTATAACCCACTGCTCATATGGGGGGAACGGACAAATTTCCAGCGCCTAACTCTTTTAACCGAGAACGTAACCAGGGAACATTGGAATAACCTAAACTACAATCTACGTACCCTTATACATTAATGCAGATGAACACACAATATTGAAGCTACTCCGTATTGAAATATATTGATATTTACTCATCCCCATTATTTTCATATGTACTGTTTACTTGTTGGGACACATAGCCACATGGGGTACATGTTCTTGCATGAGCCATGCATAGTGTTTTCGTTTCTTATCATATGTATTACATTATATATATCCTGCGAGAGGTTTAATAAACATAAGAGTATTACCTTCTCTTTTAGAATTCTCTCTTCAAATAGTTTCATAAATTGATAATTACTATCAATTTTATCATGGTATCAGAGCCGAACTCCTGAAAATAAAATTATTTTTTGTGGCTAAGCTATGAACGTTGGCAATATTAAAGCCAATCATGAAGCTATGAGTCCCTCTTCTTCTGGTGCTCAAGTGAATATGGCAAATATATTGTCACATGCTCGCTCGTGGATAATTGACTCTGGAGCTACGGTGCATATCACTTGTAGTAATGTTAATCTTGTTAATATAGCTAACACCGCGCCGGTGTCACCGGTTAGAATTCCTAACGGTGAATTAGTTCCAGTTCATGCCGTTGGTAGTTTATATTTACCCAATGGGTTTCTTCTTAAACGTGTTCTATTTATTCCAAAATTCCAGTGTAACTTACTTTCGGCTAGTCGCCTAACAAGCGATCTAAATTGTACACTCACATTTTTCCCAGACTTCTGTGTTTTACAGGACTTAACCTCGAGGAGTTTGATTGGTGTGGGTAGATTCCGTGATGGTCTCTACTATCTAGAGTCTCCGAGAGGTGAGGGGGTGGCAATGTCAGTCTGTACTACCTCCGATTTATGGCATCAACGTCTAGGACATGCATCTGATGGGAAACTACATCACATTGATTTTCTCAAAGGCCTCAGACGGAGCAACGATCTTTGTGATCCCTGCATAAGAGCTAAGCAAACTAGACTATCTTTTCCTACAAGCACCATTAAGACAACTCGTTGTTTTGAACTAATACATTGTGACATATGGGGAGGCTATAGATGCGATTCAATTTCTGGTGCGCGATATTTCCTATCTATTGTTGATGACTACACTAGAGGTGTGTGGGTTTATTTAATGAAAAATAAATCCAAGGTTCCAGAACTTCTAATTCAATTTTGCAACATGGTTAATACACAATTTGAGCAAAAGGTTAAACATATACGGACTGATAATGGAGTGGAATTTCAAACAAAAAAATTATTTGATTATTACAGACATACTGGGATATTATTGGAAACGTCATGCACAGACACACCACAACAAAATGGAGTTGTGGAACGAAAGCATAGACACATTTTGGAAATTGCAAGGGCACTTCGTTTTCAGTCTGGATTACCTATTGATTTTTGGGGGGAATGCATTTTGACTGCTGTTTATATCATAAATAGGCTTCCATCTCCTATCATTTTTAATAAAAGTCCTTACGAAATGTTATTTGGAAAAGTTCCTGGCTATGATCATCTAAGAGTATTTGGGTGTTTGGTATACGCTCATGATAATAAAAGAAAAGATAAATTCAGCCAAAGGGGGAGTCCTTGTATTTTTATTGGATATCCATACGAACAGAAAGCATATCGAGTTTTCGATTTGCAGAAACACTCCGTATATACGTCTAGGGACGTAACCTTTTTTGAAGAAATTTTTCCGTTCAAAAATGTGAACAGTCAAGAGATGGAATTTGGAGCAATGGTTGATCATGCATGTCAAATTATATTAAATCAATGCCCCATACGTACCCATCATGGTCCCTCCAATTATTATCCTCCCATCACTAAAATGCGGAAAAGTCGCTGTGTACACTCCCGGTTACACACCGGTGTACACAGCATAAAAAGCCCACCCACCCTTTTTCTAACTATCTCACCCCACCCTCCTTCTAAACTAACCCGTCCCACTCCCCTTCTCCTCCCATGCGCCCTTCTCTTTCCCGTCACCCCACAAAAAAAAACCGCTACCCACTCCCTCTTCTTCTCCATTCACCCGTACCCTTCTCCCTCTTCTTCTCCGTTCGTCCGTCGAAGTTGACACCTACGAAACCCAAGAACCCAACAACGCTCTCTGTTCTCCGTTCGCAAGTCACGAAACCCGCCGTCCCGCGCAACAGTTGAATCGACGAAATCCATCCGACCGTCGTCCGCTTCACTCCGCTCAACTGGTACGGCGGCGACTGAATTCGAAGGGCTAATCTGAAATTTTAAAGTGGAAGGCTTCAATGGTCATCCAGGGCTAATGAACGAAGGACATGGTGCGCACATCATTGTAGTTCAGAGGTAAAGATCTGCAAAACCAACTTCTTTTGTAGTTCTTAATACTTTGTAGTTCCCTTTTTTTTGTAATTTTTTAAATTTCTGCATTTTGAGATGGGTTTTGTGAGATGTCGATGTAGTGTGTTGTTATGTGTTTGTGTATTTAGAGTTCCCTGTTTTTTGCATTTCGTATGTCCTTCATAGAGCTCCAGTGGATTTCCCTGTTCTATGTATTTTGAGATGTCTGTAAAGTGTGTTCTTATGTGTTTGTGCATTGTAGAATTCTGTTTATGGGTTTCCTGAGATGTCTGTGTAATATGTTGTTATATTTTTGTGGATTTAGAGTTGTCTTTATGTCCTTTATGAGATGTCTGTGTGGCTGTGATGCTTGCCTTTATGTTTATAGTATTTCGATTTGAGAAGTCTGTATCCTGTGTTCTAAAATGTGTGTGCATTGTAGACTTGTCTATTTGCTGTTCCTGAGATGTCTGTGTACTTTGTTTTTATATGTTTGTTCATTGTGTAGTTGTCTATATAGTTTTCCTGAGATGTCTGTGTAGTGTTCTAGCATATGTTTGCACATTTTTTAATTGTCTATAAGGATTTGTTGAGATGTGTGTGTACACTGTTCTTATACGTTTGCGGCTAGCAGAGTTGTCTTTATGGTTTTGCTGAGATGTCTGTGTAGTGTGTTAATATATGTTTGTTTATTGTGTAGTTGTCTATTTAGTTTTCCTGAGATGTTTGTGTACTTTGTTTTTATACGTTGTGCATTTTTGAGTTGTCTATATGGTTTTCATGAGGTGTCTGATGTCTGTCAGCATTGGTTGTGTGCAATTTTTTAGGATGGAATTGCAAAGATACAATTCTCTGCTCAACTGATTCAAAACAATTGCTATTAAATTTTTATTTGTCTGATCAGTATTTTGAGGTTAGGCCTAATGTGTAAATGATCTTGGTTTGTACTTGCTTAGTTGAACAAAAATATCATTATGAGTTTAACTCGATCGTTGGACCTCTTTATTAATAGAATGTTTTGTTGTATTGTTTCAAGATGCAGATTATCGTCAGGTTTTGAATTCCAATTATGACAAAACCTATACACGGATAAAGAAAGGTTTATGGATGTTTGATGTGCTCCAATGCAAGAATGAGAGGATGAAGGAACACGATAAATTGATAACTAAATATTTAATTTAATACTTGTAATTAATAGTTTCTGAAGTTAATGTTATTGTTTGTAGAATGTAATTGTACTTAGATTTGCTTGATTTTCAATGATGTATCATATACGTTATGAAAATTGATATGTCTTTGGTGTTATTGGATTTCAAACGTAAGTGTAATAGAATTTGTTGTGGAATATAATAGTTGTTTGACAAAAAATCCTTTTTATTCATTTGGGAAAATGACATTTACATGGACAATTCACCTTAAAATTGTGTAACTCAAAAATTTTTATTCATGTCGCACACAATTCACCTTAAAATTTATATAGCAATTGTCTGTACATAGACAAAACTTGTATAAACATTATCAACTTTCATTCCAACTACACTTTCATTCCAACATGCAGAATAATCAAATCCATCACATTACAGTCAATTATTTTGCATAATACAGACAGAATTATACAGAAAAAATGCAGACAAAATGCAGAATAATACAGACACTTAGTTTTTACTAATCAAATATATGAATCAAATGATAGTACTCCACAATAATACAGACACTTAGTGTTTACTAATCAAATATATGAATCAAATGATAGTACTCCACAACAATTATCATAAAATGTTGCAATAAATGCTTGCCGAAGTACAACCAAAATGCATATCAATGTGTACTACTAGCTACACAGACAACCGCAAAATATACAGACATTCCTGTACGTATGCCACAGACAAAAAAATATTGGAAGCACATTGTAGAATTATTGTACAACATGGCTCGACCATTATTGTACAAAATACTACATCTAACCACCAGTATGTCAAAAAATACATCTACCCCCAATGTGTTTTTAATAATTACATATACAAAAATAATTGTTTTACAACATCGATCTTGCCATCATTGTTCATCATTGTACAGACATTTTGCTTGATTGTCTTTCATCTTCCATAGGCGTTTAGCATACTCACGCCTCTTATCTTTCATCGATCTTGCAAGGTTAGACATTCACTAAGCAGTTCTAAGGCATCTTCGTAGTCAGAGTGCACAGAGTATTGTGCGGGAAAGTAGTCTTTGATGGGAATCTTCAATTCCATCCTGCAAATACAGACATTTGTCAGAAATACAGACATCTATGAAAACTATATAGACAACTCTGCAATCGGCAAATGCTTATAGACAAGTAAAAAATGAAAATACATATGCAATAACACACTACACAGATATCTATGAAAACCATAAAGACAACTCTGCAATGCACAAACGTATCAAAACAAACAACACAGACATCTCAGGGGACATATATACACAACCCTACAATCCGCAATTGCTTATAGACAAGTACAAAATGAAAAAAAAAACATATGCAATAACACAGTACACAGACATCTATGAAAACCATAAAGACAACTCTGCAATGCACAAACGTATCAAAACAAACAACACAGACATCTCAGGAAAACCATATGGGTTTTGAACAACATTTTACAGATGGCTTTTAAAAAGTAAAAACGTACAGACAAGCATCACACCCACACAGACATCTCATACAAGCCATAAAGACAACTCTAAATCCGCAAACATATAGCAAAACACTAAACAGACATTTCAGGGGAAACCCACAAAAAGAACTCTGCAATGCACAAACATATAAGAACACAGTTTACAGACATCTTAGAATACACAAAACAACACACTACACCGACATATCAGAAAACTCATCTCAGAAAAAACACAACAATGAAGATGGTTATGAAGATCTTTACCTCTGAGCCAATTGAGTCAATGATGTGCGCACCATATCCTTCGAAATCGAAGCCTTGCACTTAAAATTTTAGATGAATTTCAACCTTGCCCTTCGAAATCAGTAACTACCGTACGTACGAGTTCAGTGGAGTGAAGCGGACGACGGCCGGGGGGGTTTCGTGACCTGCGAACGGAGAAGAAGAGGGAGAAGGGTGTCAACTTCGTCGTAGGTGTCAAATTCGACGGACGAACGAAGAAGAAGAGTGAGAAGGGTACAGATGAATGGAGAAAGGGAAGGAGAAGGAGAAGTGGGGCGGGTTAGCTCAGAAGGAGGGTGGGGTGGGTTAATTAGAAAAAGGGGTGGGGGTGGGGCTTTTTGTGCTGTGTACACCGGTGTGTAAACCGGGGTGTACACAGCGAATTTTCCCTAAAATGCAGCCTCCACCAATTATACATGAGAAAGATGGGATTGATTCTGTCAACCAAGACAGCTGGTACGAGCAACCAAATAATGCAGCACTAACCGACCCTAATGAACAGCAATTGCATGGGACCCAAGGACAGCAGCCGCATGAAATGTCAGTCCTCTCTCCCAACTCACATGAGACTATTTACGTACGTCAACGGCCAGCTGCGGAGGGAACCTCTCAACAGCAATCGATGGGTGAAGCGGTCAGCACCTCTCGTCCGGATTCGGAAACAGACAGAGAAATCGGTAGGGCACCTCCTTCACCTATCACGTCTCAACACAATGCACCGCCAGAAGAGCCAAAACGCGGAGAAAGGGTTAGGAAATGTCCCAAACACTTACAGGATTATGAGGTTGACTTGCCCCCCTCACTTGATCATTCACGGACTACCACCAATTCAGTCAACTCAAAGGTATATCCTATTTCTCACTTTGTTAATTATGAAAAATTTAGCCATACTCACAAAATCTATTTAGCAGCCATCACCTCACGTGATGAGCCAAAATATTTCTCACAAGCTGTACAGGATCCCATGTGGAGAGATGCCATGCAAAAGGAAATTACTGCCCTGGAACAAAACAACACATGGACTCTTGTCAAATTACCACCTGGAAAAAGGATCGTGGACTCCAAATGGGTTTATAAAATTAAATACAAACCCAATGGCGATGTTGAACGTTACAAAGCTCGACTGGTTGCAAAGGGTTTCACTCAAGTTGAGGGGATTGACTTTCATGAAACATTTGCACCAGTTTCCAAACTCGTTACAGTACGATGCATGTTAGCTATTGCAGCTAAGTGTAATTGGATTGTACATCAGTTGGACGTTAATAACGCTTTTCTTCACGGTGATCTAGCTGAAGATGTTTATATGCGCATTCCTCAAGGCTTCATGAAAAAGGGTGATACACGCGTATGCAAGTTACAGAAATCCTTATACGGATTACGACAAGCCTCTCGTAATTGATATCAAAAATTCACCCAAGCTCTCACCGGTATCGGTTTTTCCCAGTCTCACGCAGATCACTCTTTGTTCATCTTTTGACAGGGTCCCATACACACTTATGCTCTTATCTACGTTGATGATGTTCTTCTTGCTGGAAATGACACCTCTCATATTTCCACAGTAAAAGATTATTTGGACTCCAAGTTTAGCATAAAAGACTTGGGAAAATTAAAATATTTTCTAGGTATTGAAGTAGCTCGTTCCCCAGAAGGATTTGTTTTAAGCCAAAGAAAATATACCCTTGATATCTTGGCAGAATGTGGCCTCTTAGCAGGACGTCCCAGTTCATTTCCCATGGAGCAAAATTTAAAACTGCGTCCTGACGATGATAGCCCACTAGTAGACGCTTCCTCATATCGCCGATTGATTGGGCGTCTATTATATCTAACGGTTACCCGTCCAGACATTGTTTATTCTGTTAGCCAGCTCAGTCAATTTCTCAGCAAACCACGCCAAACTCATCTTGATGCTGCTATACGAGTTTTGCGCTATTTGAAGCAAACACCTGGTCAAGGAATATTTTTATCATCCGACAATGACCTTGACCTCAAAGGATATTGTGACGCGGACTGGGCAGGGTGTTCCTTCACTAGACGCTCTAGCACTGCTTACTTTATCACACTAGGAAATTCACCCATTTCTTGGAGAACAAAGAAACAATCTGTTGTTTCTCGTTCTTCTGCCGAGGCAGAATATCGTGCCATGGCCATCACAGTTAGTGAGATAATTTGGTTGCGGTGGTTACTTCGGGAATTCGCAATTTTTCAAAATGGGCCCACACCTCTTTATTGTGACAATCAGGCGGCACGTCACATCGCACTTAATCCGGTTTTCCATGAACGTACAAAACATGTTGAAATAGACTGTCATTTTGTTCGAGAGCGGGTTGCTAGTAAAGAGGTTCAACCATTATTCATCTCTACAACCAATCAAGTAGCTGACATATTTACCAAAGCACTTGGTACAGATCGATTTCAGTTTCTTCGGAGCAAGCTGGGTATTCGTAACCTTCATACTCCACCTTGAGGGGGAGTATTGAAATATATTGATATTTACTCATCCCCATTATTTTCATATGTACTGTTTACTTGTTGGGACACATAGCCACATGGGGTACATGTTCTTGCATGAGCCATGCATAGTGTTTTCGTTTCTTATCATATGTATTACATTATATATATCCTGCGAGAGGTTTAATAAACATAAGAGTATTACCTTCTCTTTTAGAATTCTCTCTTCAAATAGTTTCATAAATTGATAATTACTATCAATTTTATCACTCTGTATTCAAAATATACGAAGTATTTTATTGAAAACAAAATATGAAAGATATCTAAAATGATCTTCTTCAACAACTCTGTGTTACAAGAATCGGACCGTTGAACGACCCAGACAAATGACCGGGTCACGGGTCAGCCCGGTCAACATCGGGAAAACCTGGTCAACATTTATAAGTTATTAATTATATTAGTATAATTATAATAACATACAAAGTTAAAATAAAAGGTAATTTTTTCACAATGTTCAAATAATTATGATACTAGTAAGCATTGAAAGCACACTCATAATATCCTAAAGTACATTTAGTCCTACTAATACTAATAATGTTACTTGATTTTATTTTAAATACACTTACTATACAAAAAAAAATGACATTATTATCCTTTTATAATAATATTGAAATATAAAACACGATCTGCATAAGGGTATATAAAGGACAAGACTTTCTCTGTTAACAAAAGACTACTCTCAAAACTAAAATAATACGGAGTATTTAAGTATGTCACGCACAAATTTATAACACTTTTCTTATTATAATTATTACAATTTTTGTTTTTTGTTTTTTGGTAAAATAGGCGCATCAGCAAATCATCAATAAATCGAGACTAAGAAACCTCCAGCAAATCATACAAAATGTGTAGCGATAAAGTAGGATCAT